GATAAAACCGCCATTATATACTTTTGTTTATATGAACGCCTAAATTATCGTTTATAGCGAAAACCGCGAACATTTGGCGGACAATAAATAAAGAAAAGAATTTATATATATAAACATATAAAAAAATTTGCCGCTAATCAAATAAATAAGAATTATTTGTCAAAAATTAAAACTTGATTTTTACTAGAATTTTACTGCAAAAAAAATCTGAAATTGAAATTTCCCCTCTTTCCCTCCGTCCTCCCCGTCAGCTGGGATGAATTTCTGGAAAAAACGAAATTCCGGAAGATTAAAGTGAATTGTTGCTATTGTTGTTGGCTTTTTTAAAGAAAATATTTAAATTTTGTTGAAACTGATTTTTTTACAGGCCTTTTCAAAATTTTTCTCCTTGAAGGAAAATGTTTCATTAGTTTTTCAAACTTTTGAATAAAAGCGAAGAACAAACGAAGAGATAAAAACATTTGCACACCAACTATGACGAGTACTCGCCGGAAAATAAAAAAAATTGAACCAATACACAGTGAATTAGCGAAAAACAGATAAGATAATATGATGAGATGTGGCCAAGGCCATAAAATGGTGAATTTTCACATTCATCCACTTCCATGATATCCAAACAAGCAATCGTCCTGTATAAGTGTTTTAGCTTACACCATTCACCAAAATTTCTCGTTTTTGGTTCCACTTATTGTTCAATTTATTAACAATAAAACATTCACCACAACGTCTTAAGTGATAATAAAGATGTCTCTCTCTCAGCACTTTAAATGACAGGTTTACTCTTGTCAAATGAACACGAATCAAATGAACCGTTCATTTCGTTCGTTCTGCTATCTTTCCCCCCCCTCCCTTCTTTAAAAAAGAAAATGAATTAAAACATTTCGTTCGTTTCATATTTCACATTCATCGAATTTTTAAATCGCATTATAATGTTCAAATAAAATAAATAAATATTTAAAACTAAAAAAAACTTTTATGAATTAAAAATTTATCAAACGAAAGAAAAGTTTAAATAAACATTTTTTTTCTCAAAGAACTTTATTTTTTTATAAAATTTTAAGGATTTTTTTCTTTTTCTATTTTCATATTTTTAATAATGTAATGAAAATAATAATAGTAAAAAACAATAATATTGCGAAGAACAGTAATAATTTTTCCTAAATTGATAAAAAATTGATAAAAAAGATAAATTCATTTATAGCGAGAATTTCTTATAAATTTATTCATTTTATCTCGAAATAAATTTTTCGAAATTCCATTCAGAAAATTATTTTATGCAAACAATTAATTCATTACAATATACACATTACATTTTATAAAAAATCCTCTTTTCCTTCTTTATTCCTTTTTTATAAGAAAAAAATTTTAATTTAATTAAAATACGAAAATACATTTTCTCTTCTCTTTTTTTGTTAAAATTGCATTTATACTACGAACTTTGACCTTTTAACTCTTTGGCCCCACTAAATTATAACTAATTAAGATAAATCGTAATTAACCGCGATGAAATTCTCGATTAATTATTCCTCTGGGAAATCATTATACAACAGATTTGTTGATAATGGGCCTATAAATCAATGCCACTATGAAAAAAATTCATGAGATATTATTGCTGAACCGATATTTATGAATATATTTCATGTGATTAACCCCATGAATGACCTCTTGAACTTTGAACCTATGTAAAATCAAAAAAAGAAAGAAGGCAATTTTCGAAAGTGTGTGTGTTTGTATTCATAATGTACAGTGACGTCATACATCCGCCAAATTCTCGATGTAATTTCCTTCGCAATTTCCTGTTATCATTTCATCATATTTTTTTCGTTTTAAGTCTGATAGATAGGAAAATTCTTTTATGATTCACTGGACAATAACGATACTTGATATTTTTAACGATAAAAAAAGGAGAGAAACATTTCGGTTATATGGACAGCACACTATATACATTTGTCTCATGTATCTTCATATCTTTTACTATTTCTTTTTGTTTTTCTCTATTCTCTTCTATTTAAGTTATCAATAACATTTTCGTCTAGCATAATGAAAAATCTCTATGTTCTCTTCAGTGGCCAACAGTAATTATATTTTGCCTATCTTGCTTATCAAAACTCTTATGGTCTTTATGGTTCTTTACGTTCGGTGTTCTCTCTTATAACTCATTTCATTTTTACATTTCTAAAGAAAAGCAAGAACTGACTCAATGGTTGTGTGGACCAGATAACCGAAAAGTATTAAAAAAAAGGTAACAATTGGAACTTAAGAAAAGAGAAGAACCAGGAAGTCATCTTTTGTTTCAAATCACTTCAATGAGATAAATTGATGGAGGCATTAAATAGGTGAAAAGCAATATTATAAAAAAAAGACGGGTCAACCCCGTGTCGAAACGAATAAATAAAAGGGGGAATTCGCCGATTTTGTATAAGTATGAATGAATGCGATAGGTTAAAAAATAAAGAAAGCAAACATACTCCATCACTTCAAACTAAAATATACGAAAATTATAAAAATTTTTATGAAGGAAAATATGTACTTGTGGACTAGACGCCGACCGCTTTCAACAATAAAATATATTTGAAATTCGGTGGTTTGGTTTGGTTGATTGGTTGGTTGGTTGGTTGGTTGGTTGGTTGATTTTTTTTTCCGCTTTTTTTGTTGTGAAAATTAGCGCGCCAAATAGCGCTGTTAGTTTTTGAAAAATTTTCGCGGTATTTCGCGTCTTAAAAAGAAAAATTTTTGAAATTTTTCACTGGAAAAAATTTTTCCATTTCACCTTAAATGACGATTATCTGGTGACGGGGTTAGCTGGGAGAGAGGGAGAGAGGGATGTTCGGTTTCGGTTATGAAATTTATCTTCGTTAAATCAACTTTGTCATCTGCACGAACTACTATTTGTCAGCTTTTTGTAATTTTTAATTTTTTATTTAATTGACTTAATCGTATCATATATTAGCGGTTAATTATTAGCGGTTTTTGTTAATAGAGGCAAAGATTAAAGGTTCGGCCAGGATGAAGCCCACTTCGAGATGAGCCAAGTAGAAAAGTACTAGCTCGAGTCCCTGTTGTTGCTTAATTAGCCTAGGCTTGAGCTCAATAAGGTTTAGAAAGAGAGTTAGAAGCAGTTTACTATAGCTTATAAATATTTGGCTTAAAATGAATAGTAATATTTTGTCGTAAAATCTCTATTTGCATTGCTTTTTTGTCTGTTGTCATCGTTTATTTTTCGTTTAGTTTTATCGTTAAAGATATTCAGCGAATTCTTTTATCTTCTTTTTTTCATTGGTACCAGACTGGTACCTACTATTAATGGGTCTTCATGAGCATCACTTTTTTTTGAAATTTTATTTTATCAATATTAATCAATATTATTCGATTAATAATCATTCATGCTCAAGATGTAAAAGCAGATGTAAAATAGAGTCTTAAGTGAGTCTGTCTGTGGTTATGAGGACCTCATTCTAAATCCAGTTAATAGAGCCAAGTCATATTAGATGAATGATCAGTTACAAGTGGTGATTAATCTTAATTCAATGTTACCAAAACTGTTCGCTTTACGGCTAAGCTGGCTTTTCTCTTTAACCCTTTTCTGCAGTTGGTACCATTTTATCTGTTGTCAATCATTCTATTATTCTAGATCATTGAAATAAAATTCTGCGAAAGGAAATTAAAATAATTTGTCGATATAAAGCGATGATACTAAATTTTTGATGTGATGTGACCCTTAAGTGGATTTGATTCCTTGGCCAACTTGTTTTTGACCTTTTAGGCTTCGTCTATATAAGAACTGACTTTCGCTTAATGTACACTTTTATAGCTTAATAGCTTGTCATCTCTCATCATGTCTCGTCTTTATTTGAGAGTTACGTAATTGTTAATCGTAGCAGTATTTTTCTGGTGCGGGAAACCTGTGTTGATAGTATAACGATTAGAGACAAGAGAGATTTCGAATTTTTAATATTGTTTAAGCGGCCTATGGTACCAAACTGGATTCTGACATATATATCTCTCTTAGTCATAAATTGCTCGAATTCTAATTTTATTATGATTAATAAACAAAGAATTTAAAAGTGATTCATTTTGTCCGTATTATAAAAGCCTTTAAAGTGCCTTTCTTCTTTTTTTATTTATGCATTTGTGGTCAAAAATTTAGATTTTAAAGTATTTGTAGAATTTTTTGCCTATTGATTCATTAAAATGGCGGCACTTAACTGTTGACGCAAATTCTAATTTTTATTTTTATAAAACTAAATTTTTTCCCGAAAAATATTTATCTAATCGGTTTAAAGCGATCCTCGCCAAGGTCCTCTTTTTTCTTGGAGCAGTACGGAACCACTTTTGACTTGGCTTGGCTTCGTTGCTTTAAGAGACTCCTTCCACAGAGAGCTTATGACTTTAGAATTGGGACTGAATTTGAAGTGCTGTCATTATTTTCTTATTATGCGTGCATCCATCAATTGTTGGGTAATCGATGGCTTGTGAGTGTTGAGAAAAGTTACGTTATCTGATTAATTAAGTTTATTTTAGATTTAAGGTGTTTGAAAATAAATCGTTTCTAAAATGGACCCAAATAATTCTGAAAGTTCCAATAGACCCAGAATGTCCGTTAGAGGTTTGTAAATCTATAAAGTTTTAGGTTCCAATAGGTAGATTCTTGGTGTAGTGGTAGCTCGCAGTATTGCTGGCTTGGCTCATTTCATTGGCCCTTAGACGAGAGCAGAGGGCGTTTTCAAGTCTCAAATAAATTAATTGACTCAAATCGCAAATTTAGGACTTTTATTTAGGTTTTGATAATCGTAGTGATTCCTTTTATGAATTAATGGAAGGATTAGGTGCTAAATTTGGTAAAAATCATCGTGAAGAAATCCAAAAATTCTTAGACGAAGTGTCCAAAGAGCTGGAAAAGAAACAGGTTTCGTTTTTAATCCGACTAATTAAATTTGGTACAAACAAGATGAGAATACGAGAACTGAATTATCGCAATAAATGGTTTTTTTGTAATTTAGATGGAGCGGTTGGAGAATTTTTTCGGTAAAGGAGACTTCGATTTCGAAGAAGTGCCAGAAGAAGAGGTTCTTTCTCAAGTCATTTGAAAGAGCTTACAATCAAATCCGAGAAAAGTCCAATAATGGTGACCCAGTGCTAGTTTTTTTGTTTTCAGGTTCCATCGTTTTATCGAGAGGTTCTGATCGACTCAAATTATCATAGAAATCGTTTATTACCTACGGTAGTACGAGAACTTTACGCAAGTTTTAAAGAAGACGAAAGCGCTAGTAGTCCGAATTTGCTGCCTTTTGATAGATTAACTCCACCTGTAACGCCTGAACACGTGAAATGCCGGGTGTGTGGTTTATTTAATGGTTTATTCCTCCAAAGCAGTTCTCATCTTTAGGATGAGTTCTAATTTCAGGCTGCAGTATTTTCGAAAGTAACAAGCGAGTCGAATGAGTCCTCTTCTGATCATAGTGGTAATCCTGAAATTTCTTCGGAAGCACCACAGGCGATAGCGACGGATAATTTGGAAGAAAAACAAGAACAAATCTCATCAATGCGTTGGTTTTTTTATTTAGTAATAAATTATTAGATTCACTGGAAATGAAGAGAATTTTATGGATTTCTTTAAACGAGTTTGATTAATAGTGCTCCGGTTGGTGGTTGCCTATTTTCTCGGACAAGGCAGCTGAGTAATCTACCTAACCACAAAATCTATGGGTGCTCCGTATAAGATGAATTAGTGATTATACAAGATTTCTAGAACGTTGATAGGTATGAATACAATGAACATGCTGCTGCATGCTGATTTAGTTATTTCATGCATGGTGCATTCATTATATAATGCACATCTGCTGGCTTAGTTTTATGCTTATATTGCTGTTGGTTAGCGATGATGAGAGTGGTATTGTTTGACTTAGAGCCTATTGATTTCCGATTTTTTGTTTGCTATTGCTTGCTAGCTGGCTGTTGTTAGTGATGATTGCTGATTGCATGTTACGTGTTTATTGTATGAGAGAAAGATTTTAAAGATTTTTTGGTGGACCATATCATAAATATATATATATATTCATACATGCAAAAAGCCTCCACGTTCATATCACTGAAATCATCACTTTTTACTATTATTATTGTAAAAATTTTGCAGATTATTAATTAATAAAAATTATTTTTTATAATGAGGAAAGCATGGAGAAAGAGTCGAAGTCCTTGATTTAGTTGAAAAATTATTGTCGTTTGACTGACCTTCAACATCGTTATTAGTTATTAGTTCGTTCATTTCATGGGAAATTTTGCTTTTGGGCTATTCATAATAATTCATGAAGAAATATATAATTATATAAACGAAATATTGCAATTATCATAAGGGTTGTTGCTATTGATTGTTTCGAGTGCCAGTGCAGGGGTTTTACTGGAGTGAGAACGAGTTTGTGTCGAAAGTCCCCATGATGGTGGCGATTCGCGCTCACTTCTGCCTCTCGTCCGACTAACCTCGCTAAATTGGTGGCTGTTTGAACAAATATAGGAAAGATATATCTCGAAAATTTCTGCGCTAGTGAGCAGTGATGGTCGAATTTTTTCAGTAATTTGGTAATATGCGAAAAAATGAAAGAAGAGGAGAGGACAAATATAGATGTACATATATGTAAATGTATATATATATTCGAGAAAGTGACATAATGCATTTTGACCTGTGCTGACCTTTCATGCTGTTCAAAATCTTGAGAGATGTCTAGTACAAAGGTCACGTATAATATATAATAGCGAGAAAGAGGATTATCTAATCAAGGTCATCATGAATTACAGTTGAGGGTAGATTTTATTTAGATTTTTAAAACTTTTAAGATTACTGGCTGTAAGAATAAAATCTTCAGAAGAAAACAATTTCTGGATTCTCTTCTTATTTCGCTTGTCAAGATGAGGCGTTGTTTCAGAGTAAGTGAAGAATTTTTTACAGATCACCGCTTGAGGGGGTTTAATGGGATTTCGGCGAAGTGCAATTGTAAAGTTTCTTTTTATTGTAACAACATAACATAAGCAAGCACCCACCATCACCAACACCAACCGGCCACTTTTTCTATTCATTCATCTCTATTCATCTGTTTGACAGGTGTTAATTTACACTTAGATAAATCGATTCATTCTTCCAATTTTACATCAAAATTGACCTTTTATATTGAGCCGATTAAACTTTTTCCAGAAAAAAGAAATCGTTAAAAGGGATCGAAAATATGAAAAAAATTAAGAAAAATTTTTAAAAGAATAAGTATTATAAAAGATTCTTTATTCAAATTAGGTTGGCCAATATTTGGCCAATGCTTCTTGGATTTATTTGTGCTTTGTTGGCTGTAGCATACGTTTAGTTGGGCGAAGGTCTTTCTACTGAGTAAGTAATTCTTAAAAATTGTATTCGAATCGAAATGACTTATTTTTTACTATCTGAATTTACTTAATCCTACTGAAATCTCGAAATATTCTATTGCTTCTCACATAAAACGACCATTCCTTGGGCGATTCAATTAGGAACTGGTTTATAGTTTTTCCTTGAAAATATATGCTTCTAATTCAGAAATTACACTCTTTATATGCGTATATAGCAGAAATGTGATAAATGCATTTGAAATGAGTTCATTTCAGGTCCAAGTAGTTCAATTCAGAGTAGTATGAAGCGTACCCGATCCACACTGAATATTTAATTTTGGTTAGCCGATAGTTTTTATATTTATCATTATTATATATAAATTTTTTACATTTATCATTATTATATAAATTTAAAAATATTTGTAATGATGGTTAGGTAATTTTTTTAAATTTTAAAAGCACCAATGCACCAGTGATAGATGGCAGAAAAACAAATCAAACGTCCATCCATCCATCTTTTTAATATATCTCATTTTTATTATTTATTAGGAAAATTATAGGAATTCTTTGTTTGATGCTAAAAAATAAGCGTCTCCTTCCAAATAGTTCTTGATTCTGTTGTAGAAAAACTTAACCCCTGCGGTCCACTTATAATACTGAAAAACCGGATTTACCTTCAGTATTCGAATTAAATATTTAAATAATTTTAATAAAATAAAGAGAGACCATATTTTTGGCGCCGTTTTTATAGTGTTTTTAGATAATATAAAATAATATAAAAGATGAAAGTGATGGTTTCGAAATTGAAACATGACCCCCTATGTGCGCATCTTAGGAGCACAACTGATATATTAATATAGCACCAAGTTGAGGGTTTTTATAAAGAATATAAATGATTATTTTTGAAGGGCTTTTTTCCGGTGTTGCACTGAAGTTTTATAAGAGAATTAGTGGTCGTGGACATAACGACTAATGATAGAAGGCGAACTGGTTTCTTATATTTCTTGTCTTTTTCACCTTTATTAGGAAATTTACCGATTAATTCGCTCCTCGACACAAATGAATTAATCAGTTGAAATTGAGAAGAAATGATTGATTGAGAGAGAAATCGCATTTTATAGGGATATTTTAAATATAATGATAGATGATTTATTCAAAGGTGATTTATTGGGACACCATTAAAGAAATTGGTAGGTGAATGGTATGCTGCTGGAAACCCACCTCTTCTCTGGTTCTCCACTGAAGGAATATCAGTAGTAATGGCCCGTGGAACTAGCTAAATTGGACACTTGGAGTGCCATCAAAAGAGAAATAGCTTTATTCGCAGCTTTGTTTTTGTTTTTTGAATATTGTTTGATAGGAAGAATGGCAACTTACACATTCAATGATATCAATGAATTTAAGGAGCTGTTAAAATCATAGATTTGCTCAGAACGAGTGGTTTTGATTGAGGCAGATTTTATACGATTTTTACTTTCTGGAAGAGAAAAAATGGGCCCTTTGATCTTTTTCAGTTTCTACAGGCATTTTTCTATGTTATATGGAGGTGGTTATCCCAATTTTTTTGCATGTCTTTTGAGATGTTAATGTTAATAGAGTAGTTTGAGATTTCCGGAGATAAATTTTCTAAGTTATGGCTTACTTCACTTGTCAGTTTTATCTGTATTTTATCAATTTCATTGGTAGAATAATCATAATAATTAAGAAATTTGTTGAGCTTCGAATTTTTTTCTGAGAAAAGCGGCTATCAATAATTTCTTTTTTTACGAAAAGAGATTTTCGCATAATGCGTACAAAAAAATAAACGGGCTATTGAGGTGGATTTTTTTACGCGATTGACTTTTTTTATTTTTTTTTTGCTTATTGAACGATTTGTTTGATTCGTTTACTCTTAAATGACGATACAATTTTATGATTTTTTTACTTTTTTTATGATCCAAAACTAAAAGCATTTTCACCGAATTGCCCGATCGCTTTTTCTTTATGCGGTCTTTCATTTATTTTATTTTTTTTGCCTTACGGCCTTGGTTTTTTTTAGATAAAATTCACGTTTCCTTTTTTCTATTATATTATAATTTGTTGTCTTGTTTATAATGGTTATAGGGTTTTTTATTTTTGATTTAGGGATGGATTAAAATATTGGGACTATTGAAAATTGAATTAGATGGTTAAAATGGCCAGCTATATGGCCATTGAGAGATAACCATAGAGCCAGTGGTATAGCTGATAGGATAATTTTATGGCATTGCTTCGAGAATTCGATCACTGAAGAGATTTGATCATTGAGATTTCTTTATTCCACTGGCATTTTATGCATTGAAAGTGGAATGCAAAGTATTAAGGATTCGATTTTTATTTCAATTCTGTGGCGAAAAAATTCATCCTTAGTTAATTGGATCTGCTATTATTAGAGTACCATTAGAGGTGTTAAGATGAAAAAAGGATCGAAAATTGGGTACGTTGTTTGTTCTATTTTTGAGAGCAATTTTAGGCCTATTTTCTAACCATAACCATAATTTTGGAAATTATAGAAATACTAATATTAATGTGTTATTTTGCTATTATCAAGACATAGCAGATGTTTAAATTTGATTACATTAGGTAAAAAAGACACATTATTCTATATAAATATTTGTACTTGCTTGTCTATGGATAAAAGAGTGGAAAAGGTCATAAAAGAAAGATTAAGCCTTTTGCGAGATCCTTAAAATTCTAAGCATATATATTTATTTCCGGCTTAACGAATTTAGTCAATTTATTGCTGAGATTCGATTATATGACAGATGTGGACGATTTTAAGGATAATTTACTATGGACAAGTCATCTGTTTTAGTAGATTTTTTGTGAGTGAAATTGATTACCGGAAATGTGAACCGTTTTTCGATGGTTTTGAAACAATTATAGTTAGATGGATGTCGTGTCGACGAAGAAAATTTTGAAAGAATCGTTGTCACAGGTGCAGTTTCTTTTATTGCTATAATAAACGTGGCAATCAAATCAAATTTAATCAACTAAAGCAGGTGATGACTTGCTACTATCATATCACCCAAGGGAATTAAATTATCTAAAGGATTAGCGGAAATGATCCGGAGGACTTATCCGAAAGGAACGGATTCGTATTGGAGTTGAGGATATTTGGCAAATATCATAGTGACATGGTATGATTAATGAATTGACGACGACGCGAATCTTCATGGAAAAGGCGATGTATAATAAAAGAAACTAGGTTAAAGCGCTTGGGAAAACTAACGATAACAATAGTGGAATGGGATAAATGGACACTGATCAATGGCTTCAATAAAATTCCACTTTTTGTTACATTTATTTGCTGATCACGACGACAAAAAAGACTTCTAATACAATCTTTCGAATCGCGGTTTTGTATTTTGCGAAAAAGATGAATGGGTTTAACCGATGAATAATTATGGTTTTGATGACGGCGCTTCA